TTGGGAAGTGTCTCCCCCACTCTGGACTCAGTTTCCCCATAGGAGGCTCAGTACCATGGGGAGGTGGCCTTCAGAGTCCATTTCAGGTCTGAAATGCTATGTCTGTCATGAACTCTTCCCAAGGAGGGTGCTTCAGACATAGAAATGTGGGTAGAGGGGTAGCAGACGGCCTCACTAGTGCCAGGGGCTGTGAGAGGGATTGCTATTAGGATACCCATGGATTCTGAGCTGGTCTTCCTTTTAGCAATAACAGAGAGTGGTGGGAGCATAGGGATGGAGTGCATAAGCTTTGAAGCCAGGCTGTTTGGGTTCACTCCCCAGCTCTACCAATGCTTGCTGTGTGACCTTGGGGAAGTTGCTTACCCTCTCTGTGCCTCAGTCTCCTCAGCAGTAGAGTGAGGATGATGACAGCATAGGTTTGGGGCAGGTGAGATGAAGTAATGTATATTTATTGTTTGGAAGAGTGCCTGGCATGTACTGAGTGTTTAATAAATGTTAGCCATTAGTGAATAAAAGTGCAGCAGACCTGATGTTCCCATTTTGAATATGACAGAGGGCTTCCCTGGTGGCTCAGATGGTAAAGAATCTGTCTGCGATGCAGGAGACCCAGGTTCAATCCCTGAGTCTGGAAGATCCCCTGGAGAAGGGAATGGCAACCTGCTCCAGTATTCTTGTCTGGAGAATTTCATGGACAGAGGAGCCTGGTGGGCTACAGTTCATGGGGTTGCAGAGTCGGACACGACTGAGGGAATAACATGGGGGTATAGATGACAGTAGGATGGTTAGAAAAACAAACCTGAACACAGGTGGTAAGATAATAATAGTTACCATATGGGTAGTCCTTATTGGGAGCCAGGATATACTCTACTGTCTATGGTTTATTGTTGTTTAATCGCTAAGTTGTGTTCAACTCTTTCGGGACCTCGTGGACTATAGCCCACCAGGCTCCTCTGTCCGTGGAATTTCCCAGGCAAGAATACTGGAGTGGGCTGCTGTTTCCTTCTCCAGGGGATCTTCCCGACCCAGGGATTGAACGCGGGTCCCCAGTGCAGGTGGATTCTTCGTCACTGAGCCACCAGGGAAGCCCTGTCTATAGTTAACTTATATGAATTGGTTGATGCCTCCTAGTAACATCTATGAAGTAGGTATTATTATTCTCATTTAACATATAATCAGATTAAGGCACAGAAAAGTTAAGTGGCTTGCCTGAGGTCTTTGAGTTTAAAACTCTAGCAAAATGGTTCTCAAGTCCACCATACTAAATGTCAGTATGTAGTTTAATTGCCTTCAGATCAATTTCAAAAGCCGGTTTATCTCGGCAGAGCCTGGACCCAAGAGACAGAGCCTGGGAATATCGGTGAGCTGGTCATCCTGAGCCACATGTGTGGTGGGGTGAAAGAGCCCAGCATCCATCCTGAGGGAGGGGAGAGTCCAACCCCCTGCAGTGGCCGGGCTTGACCATGGCCCTTATGAGGGTTATTGACAACTTGGGGGAGTCCAGAAGAGGAATGCAGCCTTGACAGGGAGCAGGGGACAGGGCTGGGAGCAGCATACCCAGGGGTTACATTTGGAAGGGCTTTCCTGGGACAGAGGACCCCCCCATGTGGTCCAGATGTATATGAGGTTTGGGGCAGGTAGCCTCACATTGTAAGCTCTAAGCGTTGTACAGTGGTCTTGGGGTGGGGGTCTGGGAAAAGAGGTGGGCCTGGGGTTACATCCTGAGACCAGGTTCCCAGCTGAGGTTGGGGAGGGGGATGATCAAGGCCTGGGAGCCCTCAGGTTCCCTCTCTCCATGCCTTGGTGAGTGATGTCTGTGTCCTGTTGGGCGGAGGGTAGACTGTAGTTGGGGAAGGTGAACTAGAGAGGGCAAAAGTGGGAATCAGGAACCCAGCTCTCATTGCAGAGGAGGCCTCATATTGAGAGTATCCCCTCTACCCTACGGCACAGGGTGGGGGCGGGGTGGGGGTTACACCGCTGTTTTGGTTCTCACATTGTCTGAGCAGCCTGGTGACAAAGCAGAGAGCTGGTTAAGCAGTTAGGCTGGGGCCTCTGCTCCAGCTTATTTTTATCCACTGCAGGGATAAGCATCCTGCAAGTCAGGGCATCATGTGTGTGTGTGTGTGTATGTGTGTGTGTATGGATGTGTTTATCTATGTGTCTGCGTGTGCATGCTCATATACTCATGTGTGTGTGTACCTACAGTTCCATCTGAATCCAGATAAATCTGTTGCTTCTAAATATCTGAATGCTTTTGCAGAATGAGTGCGTCTGTGGTTATATGCGTTAATAATCCAATAAAGGTACCTGAAGATGTAAATCTCTGTGTGATGCATTTGCACATACCTTTGTTCTGTGCTCTGTGAGGGTGCCTTGGCATTTCCGTGAAGGTGTGTGGAGTTGTCTGTCAATCCCCGAAGGAGTCTCCACCTTCATTATTCCACACTTGGGTGTTTGTATTGATGCCTTCAGGTGGGTGCCCTGGGGGTAAAGTCTCTCTCTGTGGAATTGATGTCGTTATGCTCTTCTCTGTAGATCTGTTTCTGTGTGTGTGTGTGTGTGTGTGTGTGTGTGTGTGTGTGTCTGAGAGAGAAAGAAAGAGCACCAGTCCTCAAAAAAAAACTCCTTTTGCTTGCCTGCTGCCACGCACTTGCCCCCTAGAACAACCACAATGGGGCCAGCCACTTGCTCTTCTTCCAGGCTAATGCTTTTGGTTCTATTAAGTTAAGGTTAAAGCAGAGGCTTTATAATCCTGTCTCTACATGAGAATCTCCTGTAGAATTTAAACAACACTGGTACCTAGCCCCAGCCTGAGGGAATCTGACTCAGTTGGTCAGGGGTATTTTTAAATGCTCCTCAGCGATTCTGCTGGACAGTCCAAGTTGAGGACTGCCAGGGTGGTCGAGGAGGTGTGGGGGGCACCAGCCTTGTCCTGGGTGGAAGCCTCTCTGACCCCAGGCCCTATCAGCCTTTGCTCCGCATTGCAGCACGTGCAGGAGACTCAGCCCAGATATCGGAGTCTTCCTGCCTTAGTAGCTTTTCTGAGCCCTTAGTCTCCAGCGTCTGCTGAGGCACTGTGGGCCTAGCATTCCTCTCTTCCAGCCAGGTGTGTAGGAAGCACCAGCTCTCTGAAGTCAGGGCCTTGGCTTCCCTAGGGTTAGTGGAGATGATGGATCCCCCTGGGGACCACCAGTGCCAAGTTGTGCCAGAGGCAGCCGGTGGCCCCAGGAGTATGGAGGGTTCTGGGAGGGGGTACAGAGGCTGAAGCCTGTGCCTGGGGTGCTGGGGCCAGTGTTTCCCCAGCCTTCCCAGTCCTTCTTGACCTGCAGAGGAGAGACTGGGCCAGCATCCCTGAGGCCCCTCTGGCCTTCTCAGAGCATCTCTTGGGGATACCCAGGCCCCCAAGTATTTCCAAGTGACCCCTAAAAGGCAGAATAGCATGTAGGTAGAGAAGGTCCCCCCTTCCTTGAACCTTCCTAAAATTGGTTTTCTTTCTCCTTTTTGGGTGCTTATTTGTCACCAGATTGAGCTTGAAGAGGTGAGGAGAGGAGGGAGGTATGAGGAAGCAGAAATTCCAGGGGCACAGAGGGCCCTGGAGTGATTGCTGCTCTGCCCATTGATGGGGGTGTGCAAGGACTCATGGTTGGGATGCAGCCCCTTGAGTCTCCCCATGGATGCAACTCCAGCACCTGTGGGTTAGTGGTGGCCCTGATATGGGCCTAGTCAATATTTTTAGTAATAATTTAATAGTAATAATAACTTTTAATTACTGTTTAGTACTTCATTGTGTGGCTATGCAGGGGTCTATTAACAGTGCCTGCCTGATGGATGGTTGGCTGCCCCATTTTTTTTTTTTTTTGCTGTTGATGCTATTTTAAATGATGCTGAACATTCTTGCATATGCTTCTTTCTGTACAAGTGCAGTTATCTCCCTGGGATAGATACCCAGATGCCGAATTACTGGCATGTGAGGCATATCAATTACTCATTGATTTTAGAAGCAGACCAAACTCTTCCTCTGGGCAGGTGCTGGGGCTCCCTCAACCTCCTCACTCGACCCCCTTTGCCCTGTCTGGTCCCTGGGAGCTCTGAGGGGGAGATCCTCGAGGTCTGAGCACATCCTCCGTAGCATCACGTTTTGTCTGTTGCATTGGTGATGATTTTATCCTGGAAGCCGAGTGGGCTGAGGCAGGGTGAAAGGATGCTATGTTTGCTGGGGATCAGGCTCGGCTGCTGGAACAAAGCGGCCCTGTATGAGCTAGTGAGTTGGAGAGAAGAGCAGCTCCTTGTCACGTAGCAGCCGGCAGCTAGGTGGGCCTTCAGGCTGGCAGGGAGGCTCAGTGCCCCGGGGCCCACTCCATCATCCTGGCTGCCGCTGGCAAGTTATTCCCCATCCCTCAGGTGTTATCCTGACTGATCCGTCCAAACTGGGTCTGAGGCGGGGAAAGAGCAGCAGGGGCAAACACGTGCTGCCTTAGGGATAGGTAGTATTGAGGTGGCACGTGTCATGTCACCCACATTCCATAGGTGGGAAATTCATCACATGCCTGCACCCAAGAGCAGGAGGGACCCAGAAGTGTCCTCTCCGGGGGGGCATGTATGTGCCAGCTAAAACTTTGCCCCTGTGGAGGGAGATCCAGAGACACACTCATCTGCTGCGGAGGAAAAAGCCATCCAGACCATTCTCGTAGTCCAATGGGCACCGGGGCCAGCGGGTTCCCTGCTGTGGCCCCAGTGCCTGGTACTGAGCAGGTGTTCGGCAGCTGCTTGTATGTTAGAAGAATAAAGAACCACACATACAAAGGCATGGACGGGGGTACCCTTGCAGGCTTTGCTGCGCCTAGGGGAGAGGGACTGTCCCTGCCTCTCCTGTGCCACCAAACCTGCGGGACTCATGCTTTTCCTTTCTTTCTAGCCTGTAGACACCTGGGGTTGAGCAGTGGCGGCTGTGAATGAGAGGCGGGCGGCACTGGCCTGAGCCGCCTTCCAGGCTGAGAAGCGTCATGGCCAGCATTGCGCAAGCCTCCCTGGCTGCTCTCCTCCTGCTGCCTATGGTAAGGACCCAGGACCCGCGCCGCCCCCTGCGCCCGCCTCCCCCCCCCTACCGCCATGACCAGCCAGAGCCCCAGGCTCACTTGAGCCCCCACCTCAGATAACCTGTGTCTTTTGTGTCCTTTCAGCCAAGCTCAATTCGCATGGCTGGTATCTCTGCCTGCACCCCCACTGGACCATCCCACACCATTATGTGCATTAAAAAGGGTGCTTCTTCCTCAAGACCTTGTACCAGTTTGACAAGAAGTTGTTACATAATTTACAAATTGATTATGATAGTAATATATGTGGGCTTCCCTGGTGACTCAGATGGTAAAGAATCTGCCTGCAATGCAGAAGACCCAGGTTCAGGAAGCTTCTCTGGAGAAGAGAATGGCTACCCACTCCAGTATTCTTGCCTGGAGAATTCCATGGACAGAGAAGCCTTGCAGGCTAATAGTCCATGGGGTCACAAAGAGTCAGACATGACTTAGTGACTAACACACACACATTTGTGGCAGCCTTTAGAGTTGTGCAGTATACAACCCACTCAACTGTATTCAGGAGCCCTCATTAGGGCTGCAGAAGGCAATTTTGATCCTGGTTCCCAGCCTACTAGTCTCTGGCAGGCTAGAGCTCCGAAGCCTCTCCCTGACCAAGAGGGATAGGGTGGACGGTTCCCAGGCGTTGGCCCCCTGCTCTTCTACCTGGGAATTCTGACCAACGTAGATGCAGCTCTCTTCAGAGCCCTGGATGCCAGTCCTGCCTCTGGCCTGCCTTACTGTGTGACTCCAGACAAGCTCAACCCTTTCCCTACACATCTGTGAACAGTCAGCGCTAGACTGGGTCCCTGAGCCCTGTTCTTGGCAGCCTGCGATGCCTGACACCTGCCTCCACACTTGCCAACATCCCCTTGTGAAACCATCCCTGCCCTGGAGTTTTAAGCAGAAGTGACAGCATAAGTATGCAGCTGTCGTGATAGCATTCATGGGCTTTGAAGTTATTTGATTCTACACTTAAATCCAGTATCTCCCACTAACCAACAGGCAGTAGACCTTGAGCAGGAGTTGTTTTTAACTTCTTTGAGCCTCAGTTTCCTCTTTTGTAAAATGAGGCAGGAGTAAATGAGCGTGGTTAGTAAGTGCCATGCAGTGCTATCACTGTCCTTCGCCTGCAGCTCCTGGGCCCCCGGTGGAGAGGAAGGATGAACTCTCTCAGCAAACTCTCCTCTCTCTCACCTGCTGCTTGCTCCCCTAAAATGCAGTCATAGCCTCGGGGTCTCTGGAGCTGGACTGCATGAGTTTGAATTCTGGCTGTTCAGTCTACTAAGCTGTGTGACTCTGAGCAAGTTTCTTAACATCTCTGTGCTTAGGTTTCACATCTGTTGAATGGGAAATGGTAAAAATAGTGCCTACTTTGTAGTACTCTTGATATGTATGTATGCATGGATATGACAGAGTAATGCATGCACTTTAGTATGGTGCTATCTATGTGTTTGCTGATGTTATGATAAAACGTGGAAACAGAGCCAGAGAGGGGGGTGGGATCTGCCTGGGTCCCACACTGAGCTGGTAAAGTGGAAGAGTCCTCATGGCATTTGTGACAAAGCAGAGGCACTGCTGCTTCTGAAATCTCTCAGTCACTGTCCTCTTCCTGCTTCTTTTGCTCCCCACCCCCACTGCCCCTGAGGCTTAAGTAGCCGGGCTTGTCAATGAACCTCCCTGCTCCTCACCACCACTTATCCCCTGTGTCCGCTGCAGGCCACCGCTATGCACTCTGACTGCATATTCAAGAAGGAGCAAGCCATGTGCCTGGAGAAAATCCAGAGGGTGAATGACCTGATGGGCTTGAATGACTCCTCCCCAGGTGAGGATGGTGGTGGGGAGGGCCATCACCTCCGGCACATCTAAGGTCAGCCTTAGAACTGATGTCCTCGCCTCTGGCCACCTACAGAAACTGGTGGAGGATACAGGTCCCTGGGTCCTTCTGAAAGTCCTTTGGGGCGATGGAGCCCTGGATCTGCTCTGGGCAGTGATGCTGGGGTTGCCCTCCTTGGGGATGGCCTGCCTGGATGCCTCCCTCTGAAAGGGGCTATTCCAGGTGACTGAACGTGGCTGCCTTCTCTCCCATGGGGGCCGAGAATGAGTTGGTATCTGGGTTGAGCAGCCAACGGCTGTCAGAGAGCTCATTAGCAGGCAGCCTGGGTCTCGTGGCAGAAGGGACACAGCTGTTGCTGGTGGCCAAGCTAGAGAGCACCTGGTCAACTCAGAGCGTGGGGTGTGGATCTTGCCCATCTCCTCTGCTCACTCCATCAGAGGGCGGAGAACAGGGTGGCAGAGGAAACCCAGCCCTGTGTGTGTCTGCTGCTGCTGTTCTGGGGCTGCTATAAGCACTGGGGGCAGGAGGCTGCTTCCTTAGGCTGGATGGTGCCGCACATTGCAGGACATTTAGTGGCTCTAGCTCTCCCATTAGATGCCCCTAACACCTCCTCATCTCAGTGACAGCCCCCAAAGCCTCACATTACCAGATGTCCCAAGGGAGTGGCATGGCCCCTGGCTGCTGACCAGTGGTCCTGTGTACCCTTTCCTCCTATGGGACACTGAGGCCCATAGAGCAAGGGCACCCTCACCCCAGCAGAGCCAGGAGGAGGGTCTGCCTGGGAAGCTGGGGACTTGAGGGTAGGGGGCATCACTGGAGAACTGTTTAGACTTTCCCATGCCTCAGTCACTGGAAGGTGGGACTCTCTGCCCCCTCTAGAGGGATCTACTTTTCTCTTTGGTCCTCCCCATTCGCAGGGAGCTCTTCTGAGTACCATTTATTTAAATACTTGGTTAGCCTGCAGATCAGTTAATTGTAATGGTCCCTCTGGGCTGAACTCCTTAGCCAGTCAGCTCAGCGAACATTAACTAGTAATGGAGTCTCTCCCAGCCATGCTGGCCTTTCCCTCTAGCCAAGCTCTTGTTCAGCCCTATCTGAGGCCAAAAGTGGATCTGAGGCCCCACCAGCCAGGGAAGCCAAGGCGGGGGGCCCAGATGGGCACACAGTTGCAAGAGACCCAAAGAATAGCTGATCCAGACCTCTTGTCTAGAGGATGGGAACGTGGAGCCCAGAGGGCAGTGATTCTTTGGAACTGTGGGAAGAGGGTGTGTCAGACTCAGGTGGGCCTGGAACCCAAGCATCCTGTCTCCCAGCACAAGGCCATTGTTCCTGAATCACAGGTCTCAGATATACTTGGGACTGAGCCGTAGGAAGCATCAGGTAGGGACAGGTAGAGATGGGAGGTAGGGTGGGGACTGGGCCCACAGGTGTGCAAGTGAATTGCACCCGTGGAGCCCTGGGCAGGAGGAGGACAAGAGGCCCCGCCTGCAAGGGTATCCTGGCAGAGGCGTGAATGTGGGCGGGGCAGGTGTAATGATGGGTGCCACCCAAGAGAGGCAGGTCAGAATTGCTGGGAGGGGCTCTCACCCCCTGGTGTTCTCAGGAGAGGACAGATGAAAGGAATTCTCTGTGGGGAAGGATTCATGGAGAAGGTGGCATTTAAACCAGATCCTTGGTCCTCACACCTGGCTGCATGTGCCTCAGGCCAGGCACCTTTTAGGAAAATGTAGCCAAGACCCAATCCAAACCAATTCAACCAGAACCTCAGTCAGTCATAGTTGCCATGATTTTTAAAGGCTCCCCAGGCGATTCTGATGAGAAGCTAGGCTGAGAACCCTTGAGTTAGTCTCGGGGGAGGGGTAGCTCTTGAGGGTAGGTGGGAGCTGAGGGATGGCTGATTGGGGAGAACGTTCTAGGTTGAGGGAACCACAGCAGCAAGAGGCGGATGGTGAAGGGGAGTGAGCAGGTCCGTATATCTGGAACCCTGGATTGGAGTCGGTGGGGGTGGGCTAGAGAGGGGTGTGGCTGAAGGCCAGGGAGCAGGTATCTGTGTATTGTGTGTGTCTACTGCCACTGGAGCTGGACAGAGGAGGGGATGGCGCTGGGGGTGTCTTCCCCCAAGCTACTATCTCTCCAGCTTTTCCCAGAATACCACCTGGACCTCCCTCCTCTAACAATGCCTCGGGGACCCTGTGAGTCAGGTCACCCTCAAACCTGAACTTGAGCAAGGGATCTCAAGCCTCTGGAAGAATTCCACTGACCCACCCACTGGCTCATTCATTCCCTCACTCACTCATCCCCTCGCCCTCTCACTCATTCAACTCCCATGACAAGCTGGCACCTTGGGTCCTGCCTGGTGGAGTGCGGGCAAGGTCAGGGGAAGGATGGGGGCCTGCCGAGAGAGAGGTTCACACACTGATAGCCCTACCTGTAGAGTTCTCCTGGGGAGTGTGGATACATCTCTAGGGAATAGGTCAGCGCAGTTCAGACCATCTGGGAAGGCTTTCTGGAAGAGCAGAAAGGGGTTAGGGACCAGATTTGGGCTTTGGAAGGCAAATGGGGAAGCCAGGGAAGTTCCAGGTGGGGGCTGACCATAGTAAAAGTAAGAAGGGGGCAGTGAGTATGGTCAGAGGGAATTGTGACAGCTGGCACTCAGATACCAGGGGCCAGGTTCTAAATCATTACACATTCACAATTGCATAGCATAGCTCATTTAAACCTCACCAACCTACTAGCCGGGTAGCATTTACTCCCATTTTCTGGATGAGGCTGTACAGACTCACAGAGGGTAAGTCACTACCTGTTACACAGGTAACACACAAGTTACACAGCCTGGAAGGGTGGAGCCAGGACATGCCTTTGATCCTTCCAGAGTTCTTGCTCTCTGATCTGACTCTCTAGACTGCATTGTGGCTCAGAAAGGAGGGAGGAGTCAGCCCCACCCCCGCATCCCCCTGACTGCGGTGAAAGGTCACAGGGCAGAGAAAGTTGAAATGAGGCTGGAGAGAGGACTTGGGAGAGAGGAGAGCCTTACATCTGCACCCCTCGCCGCCCACCCCCCTGAGGGCCTGCAATTTTCTTGGCTACTAAAGGCCAGAGGGTGTTTGCATTTCCATTGGCCAGGCTGGCTGGGAGGCCCCAGCCTCTAGTGACCTGCTTGGCTAGGTCTCCCAGGCCCCAACTTCAGCCTTGTGGAAGGAGAGGGGCAGGTAGAGGGGAGGCGTGAGTGTCCAGCTCAGCTCACTTCAGGCGTCCTTCCTGCTGGCTGAGGTTAGAGGAATCCCACCTTGAGGGTCCTTCAGAGCAGGGGGCCTCTGGGCACTCCAGTGCAGATGTCCTGGGAGATATCGGCCATCCTGTCAGCTGCCAGGGCTTGGGCTTGACTCAAGACTCAGGCTGGGTCCTCGGGGCATCCTTGGCTTCAGCTTTAACATGCTTATGAACCATGGGTAGCCATTCATCCCATCGCACCTTGTAGAGCTTCTGAGAGCATTTAAAGATGCTGATGGTCAGGTCCTCCCCACAGCAATGTGGGGAGTATTAGGCCAGCGTGGCTTGTTGAGAGTATGTATTAAAAGCCTCTCAATGATTCTAGAGTGTATCCAAGTTTTAGAACCACTGGTTTGGTCAGAGAAGACCATCCTCCAGGGTGCTCATGTCAGCTCAGGCCAGAGAGCAGTGCTCAGGGTCCAGGCAAACCCGTCTGGGAGCCAAGAGTCCAATCTGACAGTAACCAAGGGTCAGCAGTTGTGCATTCTGGTATTGATATCTGTGCCTGGGGTGAATGGAGAGAGACCAGCTCTTCTGCTACACCCCTTCTCTGCACCTTCCCTGCCCCTTCTGTCCCAAGCGTTTGCGCTATGCATGGAACATTGGTCAAGGGTCAGCTAGTGTCACTGAAACACACCTGAACAAGGAAATCTGTCAGCCTGTTCCAATGACTGTGAGTGTGAATTCACGACAACACTTTTATATATGTTTTTATGCTGATGGCTCAGCAGTAGAGAATCTGCCTGCAGTGTAGGAAATGTGGGTTCAATCCTGGATCAGGAAGATCTCCTGGAGGAGGAGATGGCAACCCACCCCAGTATTCTTGCCTGGAGAATCCCATGGACAGAGCAGCCTGGTGGACTAAAGTTCAAAGGGTCACAAAGTTGGACATGACTAAGCAATTGAGCATGAGCATGTACTAATATTTATATATTTACTACTTGTGGGCTCCCTTGGTAGCTCAGCTGGTAAAGAATCCACCTGCAATGCAGGAGACCCTGGTTCAATTCCTGGTTCAGAAAGATACCCTGGGGAAGGGATTGGCTACCCTCTCCAGCCTTCTTGGGCTTCCGTCGTGGCTCAGACGGTACAGAATCTGCCTGCAATGCGGGAGACCTAGGTTTGATCCCTAGGTTGGGAAGATCCCCCAGAGAAGGGCAAGGCAACCCACTCCAGCATTCTTGCCTGGAGAATCCCCATGGACAAAGGAGCCTGGCGGGCTACAGTCCATGGGGTCTCAAAGAGTTGGACACAACTGAGCAATTAAGCACAGCATAGCATATTACTTGTACGTCCCCATGATCTTTTATATCCAGTAAAGTGAGTGCATTGGAATGAGGACACTGGTTTGTTAGAGACGAGATGTGTCTGTGGCATGTTTTAGCTGTGTAGCTGTAGGTGGGGGGCTCCCAGGTGGGCATCTGCATCCACTTAAATCTTTACTCCTCACTGATCCCAGGATACCCACTCCCTACCCCCAAAGAGAATATGGGATGGTAATATATATAGTGGCCTTCAGAGTGGAAGCCGAGGGACAGTGATAGGCTGGGGAGGGGCATTGGAACTCGGCAGGGGGCTTATGCGAGTAGAAAATACAGGGAAGATCATGGAGAGTGAAAGCAAGTTTCTGACTGGGTGGTTTCTTCCGCACCATCCTTGGCAGGTTTTAAGGATGTTTATTGGGACCATTGTTGAGGCGATATATTTAGTGGTTTTGA